TTCCACCCTACAGCCCCATTCCCACTGATGAAATGTCCAGACGAGCTACATTTGTTCGTTTCACCAGTTCTGAGTTTCCCAGCTAAGAGCCCCCATGCCACGTACACTGGGATAGACCATTCCCATTCCCTTAGTAAGAGAGAAGTTCTATATGGACAGCTTCTTCCGAATAATCGCTGTTTTTGGAACGGAATCTCGAAACGTTGCTACCCAGATCCCTACAATATTAACCTCTTCAGGTTTAGGGCTAAGCGTTATCCTTATAAAACGCACTTGACAAGTTTGAGCAAGACAACAGTAAAAAAAATTGAAACACAGTCAAGGAGGAGGTCATGAAGGAGCAAGTATCAATATTTGTTTCTGTATAACACGCACCAATTAAATTTAGATTTTGAAATTCCGACACAAAACCCTTTTCTTGTATAATACGCACCAACTTTAACCCATTGCGTCTTAATGGCATTATCGCCTTGCTTGGGATAAAATGATTAAAAAAGGATGGAAGATTTTTACACATATCTTTATATCAAGAACAACACGGCTCAAAAGAGAAGTGGAATTATATTTATTTATGGGGAAGTGCATGGGTTGTGATGCGCCACGTGTTTTATTTGAAACTAAGTAGTCGGTTTGCCGGTTGTTGCACCGACGAGGAGGAGACAGGGCAACGTTTTGTACCTAGCGGATGCATTAGGTACAAGACATTGTCTTGTCTCCTCATAGGATGCTATGGGTGAGGAAGCAAAAAAGAAAGAGGATTTATGCTCTTTCCTATTATAGTCCTTAATACAATGCCACTTGGCAAATATCCTGGCAGATAACGTAGGGGTTATACTACAGCCACCTTAATTGCTGTTAAAAAAATGTGGATACATTTCTGGAGACATCCAGCATTTTACTATTTACTGTTGCATGAATAAATTTCGCCACAGATGAAGAGAAGGATTCAAACGGACTAAATGCGGTTCTATCGACTGAAGAGTTTTTTTCTTTTGGACAATAGGAACTACGAACACATTTTTGATTACAATAAGAAATTGATAACTTAAAGTTTGCAGGAATACTGAGGAAAGAAGACTTGGAGAATTTAGCACTCACAAAATACATCACAAGGAAGAGAAGTGAAATCAGGAGAAACCCCCCTTGACAAGTTTGAGCAAGACAACAGCAAAAAAAAAAAAAAAATGCCACCAAGACAAAAAGGAGGTCATGAAGGAGCAAAAATCAATAACTGTTTCTGTATAACACGCACCAATTAAGTTTAGATTTTGAAATTCCGATACAAAAACTCTTTCTTGTATAATACGCACCAACTTTCCCTGTTAAATTTAACCTGAACATCTTTTTATCCAGATCGTATTGACTTAAAAGGTCTTTATAACGTTTACGTATGTGGTATAGTGGATTGAATTTCTATATTTTCAGTTGCCAGCGTTTATAAGACTTAGAGTCTGGGGGTAGTTAATTCCACACATATTGCTTCCTGAAATGTGCGGGGGGTGTAATAGCTAGCGGCTCAGAATGAAAAATCAGACAGCCGAGTTTCAATTCCAGTCGAGTGCTAACCACTTCCCTACAATATCAATATTTTCAGGTCTAGGGTTAACCGTTATTTTTCTTACATATCCGCATGAAACACACTTCTTACATCAGCCTATTACACACATACAAGAACATTATTTAGTAACTCTCTACCTTGAGCGGATCTTGGGTCTTGTTTTGAGTGAACAATTTTTAAAAAATGCTTCTAATAAATTGTCATATAAAACACATACTTCTGAAAATTTTTCAGTATCTATTTAATCAAAAACTGTTTAATTAACTTTCACCTCGTCATGTAACTTCAGTTCGGACTGGAGAGAAGGTAAAAACTTTCCAAATATATGCTGGTTCACTGTGTCGTGCCAAACAATTTTTCTTGCCAGAATCCATCTAGTATGTATATAAATCTACTATTTATCCCTGCATTGAATATTGCTGCTAAATCTGATCTGGTTCTATTTTGACATTCTTGACAAAATCCAAAGAAGAGTCTGTAAAAATATCAATCCTGACCTGGCATCTCGGCTTCAGTCATTTTCCTACCACTGTAACATGACTTCCCTGTGTCCTTTCCATAAATATTTTCATGGCAATTGTTCAAATGAACTTTCCTTTTTACTCTGTTGTTATTTTTACTCCCCAGAGACAAATTGTACATATGGTAACTACTTTGTTTATAAGACTTGGGGTCTGGAGGTAGTTAATTCCACACGTATTGCTTCCTGAAATGTGCGGGTGGTGTAATAGCTAGCGGCTCAGAATGAAAAATCACAGAGCCGAGTTCAAATGCTAGTCGGGTTCGTTACATTCACTTACGCGTCAATACAGAAATACCTCACACATTTTAAACGGTCACCTGCTATTGAACTTAGACAAGTAGCAATAGTGTATTCATATAGTCAATATTTTACCAATATTTTTTTTTCAGATGCCATCATTACCATCATGGTCTGGACTGATGCACATCGTGCGTTTGGTGTTGAAACGTTTTTCAAGATTGATGAATCTGTAATTTCAACACAAAGAGATTTTCGTGTTCATTCTATGTTACACTGGAACGATGGTCTGCTGTGGGTTGAAAAATTCAGGGCCACAGATTCAGCGCTTAAAAGAAAGCCACTTGGAAAACTTCGAGACGTTCGAACTCCTGAAAACATCCGGGTTGTGAGACAATCTTTTGCGCTATCTTCTACACGTTCAGTCTGTAAACATGCTTCTGAGTTGGGATTGTCTGGTCGAGCAGTCAGAAGAATTTTACAAGCCGATCTGAAGTTCCATCCATACAACTAATGGTTGTTCAGGAACTACAAGAAAGCGACTGGGAAAATCGCATAGCATGCTGTGACGGCATTCTTCAAAATGTTCCTGCAAATGCTGTTTTTCTCACAACTAATGAAGCTCAATTTAATCTTTCTAGCTGAGTCAATAAACAGAACTTTAGCTACCGGGTGTAAAATAATCAGAGACAGCTTCACGAAAGATCTCGACATGGTGAACAAAATGACTGTGTAGTGTGCAGTCGCGAAAATACTTTTTTGAGGTGGGAGACCACTTGGTTACAATAACATCTGATTGGTATGTGGAGATGCTGTGGGCCTTTCTGGGATCAAAAATCCGAATCTGGGGTTTCAACAGGATGGAGTCATCATACGCTGAGCGAAAAGATCAATGGAAGATTTGGAAGAGATTTTTCCAGGACATTTGATTTCCTTACTGTGTGATAATAGATGCTTACGGTCAAATCACGCTGAAACACCGGTTCTCGTTCGATCACCGAAGTTAAGCATCGTAGAGCCAGGTCAGTACTTAGATGGGGGACCGCTTGGGAACACCTGGTACTGTAAGCCCCCAAAGTCCAACCTTTACCTCACAGTCAGTGCGGGGGGTGTAAACGGTAGTGTCAGAGCTATGCCGTCTGGAACTTCGTTCCTGGTAGGGCCACCCAAGGCGGACAGGTCTGACACACACGCCGGCTAACAAGGGCTCTGGTGAAAATCCAAGGAGCGTCTGCATCGGTAACCGGCGGCTTCTGGTCGTTCCTGTCTCTGCGTCTGTGGGAACCCCGCGGCAAGCAAGAACGTTATCCGAGTAGGCCTGGGTACCCTACTTCTGTAATTTATCCCAAGAATCTTCTTCTCATAACAGGAAGTAGCCGGCTCAATCCGCCCAGGGTGAATGCCGCATCAGTACAGTACAGTACAGATAATAGATGACCTGCTCACCCAATCTCACCCCATGCGATTATTTTCCCTGAGGTTACTTGAAAGCTGACGCTTGCAAACATGGGCAAGCAATCATTGAAGAATTAAAGGATGCTATTCGCCCAAAATTGGTAAAAATAGCGCAAGAAATGATTCATCGGGCGATGGAAAACTTTCTGCAACATTCTATGGCGAATATTGGCCCCTGTTTAAGAGATGTTTTGGGGGCAGAAATTACTTACGTCTTATGTCAAGCAATATTCGCTAAGAGTGTGGGTTTTTCCGCGTGTTGGATCTAAGAAGGAAAAGACGAGCATTCATTTTGTTCTCTTTTGTCTCATCTTGGCTGAAGAGGAAGTGACGTAGGGCGGTTCTGAAGAAGACCGGAGCGTACAAATGCCGAAACATTGTGAATCTGGCATATGAGGATAACAGTCCGAATAATGTAAATAATGCAAGTAATCATAATACTTCATCTCAAAGATATAGACAGATATATAGAGAGACATAGACATAAAGGCCGGAGCGTACAACGGCCGAAACGTTGTGAATCTGGCATGAAGATGAGGATAACAGTCCGAGTAATGTAAATAATGCAAATAATCATAATACCTCATCGCAGAGATATAGACAGATATATAGAGAGACATAGACATAAAGGCCGGAGCGTACAACGGCCGAAACGTAGTGAATATGGCAACGAAGATGAGTGTTGTGGTAGGATCCACCTAATTTGCATAGTGGAGTACCGACCATATAAATATGGTTGGTACCGGGAAGAGAGGAAGGAATTCAATCCAGAGACTCTGCCCGACTGCGACTCAGTCAACACATTCTCCGGGAACGGTCTTACCAAGAATATAAAAAAGACTATATGTAAAAATTGTGTACACTTTCTTGTTCAATACATTTTGTTCTAAGTACATTTTGTGTTGCATTATTATTCCATGCATTAGTCAAGTTTCAACAATGAGGATAACAGTCCGAATAATGTAAATAATGTAAATAATCATAATACCTCATCTCAAAGACATAGACAGATATATAGAGAGACAGAGACATAAAGGCCGGAGCGTACAACGGCCGAAACGTTGTGAATATGGCAATGAAGATGAGGATAACAGTCCGAATGATGTAAATAATATAAGTAAAATAAAGTTGGAGAACATCTGCTCTATAATTGACATCTCTGTTTGAGACGTCGGTGATATTGGCTCTCTCCAGTTTGTACAGATAATAAAGTTATGCACAGTCATTGCTGTTCAAAGGAAAGACATTAAAATGCTACCTCGTTGCATTACGGTTTTGAATTCAGAGCTCTCTAATAGACTGGTTTCCAAACACGGCTAGGGAGCACATTTTGTCTTGCTATTTAATTTACAGTTGTTGGGTTGAGGGTGAAAGATTCCTGCCATTCCTGAGGGTATAAGTGCCAAGTGAAAACACCTCATATCTCGACGCAACTAGACCTAATTAAAATGTACCAAATGTGTAGTGGTTAGGTATTTGAAAATAACTTTCTGCTAGAGGTGTTTATTGAAGTGGCTGAAAAGAACCCTATCAACTGACCACCTTGTAGCAACGCTAACTGAAGTGTGCTTCATGCAAACAAAAGGATCGTCTCGAGTGGACAATGAGAGAGCAAATCAAAAATCTTGGTAGCATTCCAATTAAGATACAATTGAAAAGGTCAAGAACATTGACCCGTAGCCATTTAACACAGTAGACACTCCAGTTTCGCATCTGGTCGGATTCTTGTTAGATTACAAAAAAAGTTATCAGGTATAACGATAAATCGACGCAACTTTCGTTATTTTTTCTTTTAACCAAGTTTGACACAAGGGTAAATAAAATGTGTGAAACAAAATAAATCAGAATCTATTTACACTGCTCGGACTGTTGTCCTCATCTTTACGTTTCGGACGTTGTATGCTTCGGTCTTCTGTCGATATTTCTGAGATGAGGTATTGCAATAGTAATTATTTACACTATTTACATTGCTCGGACTACTGTCTTCATCTTTACTGCCATATTCACGACGTTTCGGCCGTTGTACGATCCAGCCGTCGTCCGGGTTCCTCTCTACTCAGAGGCAGAGAGGATCGTTCCCTCCATGAGGTTGCATATGGCACCAGGCTGAGTTTAACGTGGGTTTCCGAGCCCGTAGGCTCGAGGCAGAACCTCCCCCGAACGAGAGACTGCCTTCGGCGGAGCGATCGCTCAGAGGCAGAAAGTTCGACCGTCAAGTCGAGAAGATCGGCTTTGATTCGGTATCCCCCCCCACGAGGGGTTGCATGCGACACAAGGTCTTTTTTCGGGGTTTTCTTGAGCCCGTAGGCTCAGCCGCAAAATCCCGTAGACTCCCTATCAGGGTAGGTTATTCACCCCGGAACGAGGCCCTTCGGCGGAACCTCGTCCGGGTTCCCTTTCTGCTCAAGAGCATATTAGACCAGGGCTTGATCTAGTATCTAGCCACCCCACGAGGGTTGCATGCGACAACATTTTTATCGTGGGTTTCCTGAGCCCGTAGGCTCAGCCAAAAATATGCCCGTATGACTAGATAGGGTAGGTATTCACCCTGAACGAGATTCTGGGCGGAACTCGTCCGGGTTCCTTTCGCTCAGAGGCAGAAAGTTCGACCATCAAGCATTCAGCCACCCCCACAAGGGTTGCATGCGACACAAAGGTCATTTTTATCGTGGGTTGAGCCCGTTAACAGCCAAAAATATGGGAACGAGATTTCTGCCCTTCGGCGGAACCGTCCGGGTTCCTTCGCTCAAGAGCAAAGAGTTAGACCGTCAAAAAAGATCTGTTCAGTATAAACGGGATCGGACACAAGGTCAACCTCCCCTCAGCCAAAAATATGAACGAGAGATAGGGTAGGTCATTCACCCCGAACGAGATTCTGCCCTTCGGCGGACCTCGTCTGGTTCCTTTCTGCTCAGAGGCAGAAAGTTCGATCATCAAGTCGAAAAGATCGGCTTGATTCAGTATCTAGCCACCCCCCACGAGGGTTGCATGCGACACAAGGTCATTTTTATCGAGCCCGTAGGCTCAGCCAAAAATATGCCCGTATAACTCGTAAAACGAGATCAGGGTAGGTCATTCACCCCGAACGAGATTGCATGCGGAACCTCGTCCAGGTTCCTTTCTGCTGAAAAAACAGAGGTTAGACCATCAAGTCGAAAAGATTTTTCAGTATCGCCACCCCCCACGAGGGCTGGGTTTTTTTATCTTTCCCTGAGCCCGTAGGCTCAGCCAAAAATATGCCCGTATGTAAAAACGAGATCAGGGTAGGTCATTCACCCCGAACGAGATTCTGCCCTTCGGCGGAACCTCGTCCGGGTTCCTTTCTGCTGAAAAAGAGAGAGTTAGACCATCAAGTCGAAAAGATCGGCTTGATTCAGTATCTAGCCACCCCCACGAGGGTTGCATGCGACACAAGGTCATTTTTATCGATCCCCGAACGCCCTTCGGCGGAACCTCGTCGGGTTCCTTCTGCTCAAAGCAGAGAGTTCGACCGTCAAGTCGAAATGATCGGCTTGATTCAGTATCTAGCCACCCCCCCACGAGGGTTGCTCATTTTTATCGGGGTTTCTGGAGCCCGTAGGCTCAGCCAAAAAATATGCCCGTCAAAAACGAGATCAGGGTAGGTTTCACCCCGAACGAGATTCGCCCTTCGGCGGAACCTCGTCCGGGTTCCTTTTCTGCTCAAAAGCAGAGAGTTCGACCGTCAAGTCGAAATGATCGGCTTGATTCCCACCCCACGAGGGTTGCATGCGACACAAGGTCATTTTTATCGTGGGTTTCCCCGTAGGCTCAGCCAAAAAATATGGCTCAAAACCAAAAACGAGATTCTGCCTTCGGCGGAACCTCGTCCCGTATGACCGTCAAAACGAGAAGCTTGGCTTGATTCAATTCAGCCCCCCAACGAGGGTTGCATGCGACACAAGGGTGGGTTTCCTGAGCCCGTAGGCTCAGCCAAAAATATGCCCGTATGACTCGTAAAAAAACGAGATTCTTCACCCGAACGAGATTCTGCCCTTCGGCGGAACCTCGTCCGGGTTCCTTTCGCTCAAAAGCAGAGTTCGACTGACCGTCAAGCCGAGAAGCTGCTCAGGGAGGGTTGCATGAAAAGGTCATCGACCATCAAAAACGTCGAAAAGATCGGTCAAGTTGATTCAGTATCTAGCCACCCTCCCACGAGGGTTGCATGCGACACAAGGTCATTTTTATCGGGGTTTCCTGAGCCCGTAGGCTCAGCCAAAAAATATGCCCGTATAACCGTAAAACGAGATCAGGGTTCATTCACCCCGAACGAGATTCTGCCCTTCGGCGGAACCTCGTCCGGGTTCCTTTTCTGCTCAAAAGCAGAGAGTCGACCGTCGCCGAGAAGCTTATTGATTCAGTATCTAGCCCCCCACGAGGGTTGCATGCGACACAAGATTTTTCATCTGGGTTTCCCGTAGGCTCAGCCAAAAATATGCCCGTATGACTCGTAAAAACGAGATCGGGTAGGTCATTCACCCCGAACGAGATTCTGCCCTTCGGCGGAACCTCGTCGTCCTTTCTGCTCAAAAGGAGAGTTCGACCGTCAAGCCGAGAAGCTCGGCTGATTCAGTATCAGCCACCCCCACGAGGGTTGCATGCGACAAAGTTTTTTTTATCGACCATCAGCCAAAAAATCCCGTATGACTCGTAAAAACGAGAAGATCATTCACCCCTGAACGAGATTCTTGGCGGAACCTTCGGGTTCCTTTCTTACCACCCTCAAGTCGAGAAGCTCGGCTTGATTCGACCCTCTCTTGAGCGTAGTATACATAGTGTTAGGAAGAGTTCATTCTGTAGTTATAGGTAAGGACCCATGACAATAAGAGATTATAATAAAAACATGCTGAAATCGCTAGACAAAAACTTTCATGTTTCAATACTATGATTGTACTTCTTCAGGCGATGGTAACTGTTGACTAAATGATTTTTAAGGAAATCTAAAAACAAAGTGTTACATTTTTCCGAATTTTAAAGGGGTGGTGGAACATAAGGTCAGAATTAAAAATAGACTTTTAGGTATGTCTTGAGTAACCAATTAAATATCAGATCTATAAATAGAAAAGTAAGCACAGAGGGCGGAGGTGGGTGAGTTATTTTTTAATGCCATGATAAACCGGAACACAGACAGGACGTCATTGATGTTTGTGGAAAATATGTCAGAGACAAATGTATCGCTGACATATTTTTGACGTTTGCCGAAAATATGTCAGCGATATATTTGTCTGCATTCTCGATACATTTGGCGCTGGCATATTTTCCGCAATCGTCAATGATGCGCTATGTTCCGGTTTTTCATGATATGAAAAAATAACTCATCCATACACAGTCTTTTCTATTTCAAGTGGAGTATGATATGAGAATAAATCCCCTAGCTATTTAAAGAATAAACTTCCAAATTATTTTCTTCTTATTTCCTATTGGCTAATACAGAAAGAACATTTCTTATAGACATTGCATTTTTGTCGATTTTTATTTAAATTCGGAAAGACTACACGCTTTTCGATGCGAGCCAGCATGCTTATCTTTGCTGCTATAATCACGACGTTTCTACCTTTATATTTCTTCCATCCCAAGAAAAATAATAACGTCACGAAAAACAGGATCCAGGAAAACAAAAGATGGCGTTTTTACGTTGCATTTAAATTTTTGATGATTATATGTAGCAGGGAAGCAAGAAATTGGAAAGGATTTCCACAGGCGAGAAAAGACACTCGCATCTAGCTAGTCCAACATTAAAACGATGAGACCTAGTTGCCACGCTCAAATTCATGAAGTCGAGGAAACAAGGAGGAAAGCTCATCAGAACAATTTACATGAAAATATTTGTAGAAAAGACAGAGGGAAGCCACATCACGTCGGTGCGAAAGTGACCGTAGTCGAGATGTCAAATAAGGATATAACGAGATATAATGAAAATACAAAATTTATTAAGAGCTACAGGGGACAGGAAGCTGTGGAGAGCCTTGATCAGAGAACACGGCACATAAAGAAGAAGACAGAAGGAAATAAGAAACCACTGTCTTTACCTATGAAGCCATAGCAATTGACAAAGTGAATTGTGGAGAGCTCTGATCGCTTACGTCCTGAAAGGAAATGGTACTTAAAATAAAAGAAGGAAAATTTACGTTTTTGTTTCTTTTTGTGCTTCCATAACTTTTCCTTTTCTATGAATTTCCTTCTGTTTCAAATTTCTAAAATACAATTTTTTAAATATCAGATTTTTAATTTCAACTCAATTTCTTTGCGCTGTTGATGCTGCTTGTCAACGCAACATTTTAATCGATCCATTCTTCCGATCAAAGCATCAACATCGAAAGAATTCAATGATTATGATACCGTTGAAAATTATACACAATAGATGAGGGTTTTTTTTTATTCAGTTGCTCTTTCTAATCTGTTTTGAATTCTTTTTCCACACTCGCTGACGACTGTTTGTCTCATTCATCGGTGATCTAATTGTGAAACCTTATTCGTTCCTGTAGTCATTCTTTTCAGAGAAGGCTTACGGCCGTATCACATTGAAACATCGGTTCTTTTTTACCATGAAAGTTAAGCAACGTTGAACCTGGCCACTACCTACATAGGTAATCGCTTGTGAATATCAGGTGCTTTATTTGGATGGTCGAATGATATATGGCTTACGACCATATCACGTTGAACACCAGTTCTTGCACGATTACTGAAGTTAAGCAACGTCGAGCCTGGGCAGTACCAAGACGTTTAACCACTTGGTAATAACGGGTGCTGGAAATTTATATGTCCAGGTGGTATGGCTTACAGTTATATCACGTTGAAACACCAGTACTCGTACGACCATCAAAGTTAAGCAACGTCGAGCCTGGTCAGTACCTCTATAGGTAACCGCTTGGGAATATCAGGTGCTTTATTTGAATGGTCGAATGATATATGACTTACGATCATATCACGTTGAACATCAGTTTTCGCACAATGATTGAAGTTAAGCAACGTCGAGCCTGGTCAGTACCTACATGGGAATATCAGATACTGCAAACGTATGTTCAGCTAGTATTGTTTACGGCCATATCACGTTGAAACAGCTGTTTTTGTACAATCGCTGAAGCAACGTTGAGCCAGGTCAGCAACTAGAGGGTTGACCGCTTTGTAATATCGAATGTTGTATACTTGGATTTTTGAATGTTACACTCATATCACATTGAAACACCGGTTCTCGTACAATCACCGAAGTTAAGCAACGATGAACCAGGTCAGTAACTAGATGTATGGCCGCTTCGGAATACCAGGTGCTGTAAACTTAAATGTGCGGTGGGTGTAATGGATAACGGTTTGGAATTGAAGATCAGGGATCCGAGTTCCAATTCCAGTCGGATTTCTTAAATTCACTTACGTGCAAAGCCACTGGGAAAGGTACGAATGTACCTCTTCTATCCCAAGCTATGGGTTAATTAGTGGGTCTTGTATCAGCAAATCAGTATCAGTTCAAAAAAATCTTCCAATGTAATAATATTTCCAGAAGTTTTCTTTCATGATTAGTCTCTCCCTTTTCTGCCATGATTAGTCTTTCCCTTTTCTCCCATGATTAGTCTCTCTCCTTTCTTCAATGATTAGTCTTTCCCTTTTCTCCCGTGATTAGTCTTTCCCTTTTCTCCCGTGATTAGTCTCTCCCTTTTCTTCCGTGATTAGTCTCTCCCTTTTCTTCCGTGATTAGTCTCTCCCTTTTCTCCCGTGATTAGTCTCTCCCTTTTCTCCCGTGATTAGTCACTCCCTTTTCTCCCATGATTAGTCTCTCCCTTTTCTTCCATGATTAGTCTCTCCCTTTTCTCCCATGATTAGTCTCTCCCTTTTCTCCCGTGATTAGTCTCTCCCTTTTCTTCCATGATTATTGGGAAACAGTTACTAGTATAATTAATTCGACAGCTTACCTGTAATCGGTTACCTATTATTGACTTATTTCGATAATCTGATTGAAGAAGGAGATTCACTGGAATAACCATTATATTTTTTCTGGTTTGCGTAAGAGTCAGAGGGGCACTATAAAGATTGCACGCGCATGCGTGCAATCTTTAGATTTGCTTGAATCGTAAGATTAGGGAAACAGATTAATGTCGCTTTAAGTAAGAGAACACAGAGAAGATATTTTGAAGAATTTCTTTTCGAAGATTCAAATAGATAAAAATAGAATTTGGAATCAGGAAGGAAAGCTATCTATTCTGTCGTTACATCCCACTTTCTTTAAATACGAACAGCATAACAAAACAGACACAAATAGATTTTTGTTATATATAATCTTATCGATGGTAGTTTCCCCAACCCCATGACAGAACATCGCGTGTCTGAGTGGACATTTCCTGAGTAATAAGTTGCACACGTTTACATATTGATAATAGATATTATCATGAAACTGAGAGAGGGCACAGGCTAAGCATTGGCCAGACATTTTTTTAAAAGTTTGGTTTGGAATCAGAAAGCAAGGAATCTTCCACTCAAAATATTGGTTGAATGGAAAAAGGAAAGAAAGATGAGAAAAAGTAGGGAGACGCAGGAGAAAGAGTTGGAAAGGATAGGGACTGGGAAAAAGTATCAGAATGGTGAAATAAGGGAAAGAAAGGGGCGGAAAGGAGAGAGAGGCGCGAGAAAGGGACGGTAAGGAGAGCGAGAAATTGGGGTGGAAATGAGACTGACGCGCGAGAAAGGGACGGAAAGGAGAGCGACGCGCGAGAAAGAGACGGAAAGAAGACAGACGCAGGAGAACGAGACGAGAAGGAGAACGAGGAATCGATGGAAATGAGACTTACGCGCGAGAAAGAGTCGGAAAGGAGAGCGACGCGCGATAAGGAGACGGAAAGGAGAGCGACGTTTGAGAAACAACGGAAAGGAGTGCGACGCGGTAGAAAGGGTCGGAAAGTAGAGACATGCGTTAGAAATGGACGGAAAGGAGACTGACGCTGACGAAAAGCACAAAAAGGGGTGCGACGCGGAAGAAAGAGACGGAAAGGTGAGAGTGCTTGGAAATAGACACCTGAGAAAGGGTTGCAAAAGTGGGCAACGGGAGCAAAACTTTGGAAAGAAGACGGACCCGAAAAATGCCAAAATGGATACAGACGTGAATGAAAGAGACGGAATGGAGAGAGAGACGTTGGAGAAAGAATTAGAAAGGGGAGAGACGCGTGAGAAAAGAAGACAAAAGAAAAAACGACGAGAAAGGAGATAAAAGCGAGAAAAAGTTCCGGAAACCAGAGGGAAAGTATCGGAAAGAAGACAAACGCGTGAAAAAAATATGTAAATAAATATTGGACCTCTATTGACATGCTCGGTGATTTAAATAAAGGGATACAACAACATATACCTACATTACGGAAAACCTAACACTAATCCCTTGTATATACACCCTAAGTTCAAACCACTCTCCATCTATAATTAAGCATATACCCACACCAATATAGAAAAGAATCAGAATGAACTCCGCTAATAAGGAAATATTTCAACAACACAGTAATTTTTATAACACAGCCCTAAAAATAGCGGATACAAAGACGCTAACATAAATTATAGAAACAATAGTACTAACCAGAAGAAAAACAGGAAAAGGAAAATTATTTGGTAAACCCCTTCGTTCAACCAAATGGTTAGTATTAAGCTAAGACATAAGTTCCTAGCTTTAATTGAAAAACACTTTCCTACTACTAATAGCATCTTAAAATTAGCAAGATCTTTAAAAGAATCAAAAACATCTTAAAATTAAACACACGCGCAAAAACAGTGCACTCCTAAAAAAATTGGACAAAAAATAATGGAAATTTAATTTTATAAAAACATGTTGGAAAATAAATGCCGCACAAAATCTGTGGTAAAATGCACATCTCATCCACTGAGAGTCCTAACACTGATAATATACATTTGTTCAACGAAGAATGAATTTAAAATTAGATGGAGACGACACAAAAGCTCCTCCAATAATATTAGAAATAGAAATCAGATATCTCTATCCAAATATTTTTGGCATTTAAAAGAAATGAATAAAACTCCAAAAGTTGGAAAATAATAAATAGAACAAGAACTTGTAAAACCTGGGATGACCAATGCCTAAAAAAAATTAAAAGAGATAAACACTTATTGTGGAGCAAGCCCAACACTAAGGATATACATTTGAACAATAATCCAACCTTTATTAAAAGAGAGCTATTTATGGTGCCATGGAGCATCATTGTGCTAAAGTGGGATAGTCCATTGAACAATAATCTTGGGCTGTTGATTGTGCCATTGCTGGATTGGCTGAGTGGAGGTATTTCTATATAAATACCAGCTTGATTCATCAGTTAGTTTGCAGGGTTTGTATTAAGTTACAACCTGCTTTATTTTTGTCTGCCAGCTGGACGCTAGCTGGGACCTTTACACCGGTAAGTGCTGTTTATTATTGTTATTCTACATCTCCTTCCCCCCATCTCGTGTGGGTAGCGGCCTTTGGGGAGGGATGAGTTCCTTTAAACCTGGCTGGTTGTGCGGAAGTAGTCTGGAGGGTTTTTTGTCCGTGTTATTGTAGACGACTGAGCAGTGTTCCAGTGTCGTATTCCAGCGTCGAATGTTTGTGGCACTGGTGTAGGGGTCTCAGGTAAGGCACTAGGTCTTGGAACTGGAATTGTAGGTGTATCCAGTTTCCTGAGGAATCGCCGATTTCGTAAGGTAATTCTACCTGATCCATCAACTCTGATACGGTATTGGTGGTTGCGGAGGGTTTCAATGACCTGACCTGTTGTGTCCCATCGGCGGGTTGTTGGTCGTTGTAGTGCCACTATTTGTCCTTTTTGAAGGGGTTTAAGGTGTGTGCTGTTCTGTTGTATCGCTCTATGAGACGAGCGTTCCGCCGGGACAGACTTATCTCGCGATTTTGGGCTGCAGTTATCCAATTCGCATGTGGCTTATAGAGTGTGGGGCGGGATGGTATATAGTCACGTAGTCGGCGGTGGAGTAGTAGTTGAGCAGGGATAGCCCAATGTTTTGAATGGGCGTATTCCTGTATTGGAGGATGGCTCTTGCTGCACGATTATTGTCCAACGATCCTTGGGCTCCTGTGTTGCCATTTACGATTCTCTTTGCCGTTTTGACAGCAAAGCTCTGCCCGACCATTGGATTGTGGGTAACCAGCAGATGATAACCTGTGTTTGACAGCCCAGTCTTGTAAAAATTGCTTGAATGTAAAGGATGTGAAGGGTGGCCCACCATCAGTGCTGAGTTCCTCGGGAGCACCGTAGGCTTGAAATATGTCTCGGCAAATTGAAATAATCCTTGACGCATTAGCTTCTCCGTGGCTCAAGTGGTATAGATTTAGCCAGCCTGTTAACCTGTCAGCGCATGCTAAGTAACCATGGTTCCCAACATGGAAGATGTCCATGACGATTTGCTGAAATGGCCAATCAGGAGATGGTGTCAAATTGATTGGCTCTTTTGGTTGACTCGGGGCAATTTTTGAGCAGAACGTACAACCTGCTCTAATGTTACGTATTGAAGCATTCATCCCGGGCCAATAAACAGATTCATTGGCACGTGCCTTCATGCCAACTTCACCTTGGTGTGCAGAATGTAGGCTATGTAAGACTTTTGCGCGTTGAGAGGTGGGGATAACGATTCTTTGATCTAATAGCACTAATCCATCGTCAACACTTAGGCGGTGCCTCACTTCCCAGTATTCGCGGATTTCGGGTGCAGTGAGGCTGCGCGTCCTTTTTGAATCCATTTTGTATTACCTCAATTAATTTTTTTGTATTGCGGGTCGCTGCGTCCCGCCGCACGGATAACGTCTGGTGAGATGAGCTCCAGGTTGTCATTTGCACCAAATGTTGCTAATAGGGTTGTTGATTTGACCCAGTCATCCATATTGTCAGACTCTATGATGTCTGATTGAGAGAGTTCAGCAGTGAATACATTTAGGAGTGCCTGTGAGATATCTGCTGGGTTACGAGAGACAGCATCGGAGGCTCTGTGCCATTTTCCAGGGCAGTGCTGAATGGTGAATCTGTACCTGAGGGTTTTCTCCTTTAACCTGAATAATCGGGGGTTTTGGATTTTACTAAGGTCTCTATCTCCGAATAATCCTTTTAGTGGTTCATGATCTGTAACCACTATGAGATTTGGGCAACCCATTACAAAAATGCGACATTTTTCCAATGCCCACGCAATTGCGGCTGCTTCGCCTTCAATAGGTGCATATCTGCGTTCAGCATCAATGCAGAATCTGCTACCAGCAAATATCAGGCGCCAACCTTCAGGGCAGCAAACTGGGGCTTTGTCAGTGGTGCATGAGCAATACTTCTGCAGAAGTAGGAAGCCCATTCCGTCTTTGCTCCAATCTGGGGAAAGGCAGGTTATTCGTTCTTTTTGAAATGTTGCGATGCCTTTTCGGACTAAGTCAACTATGACCTTCTTTGAATGCTGGAATGCATCCTCAAGGCTTTTATTCCATGTAAAGTGTGAGTCTCGTTTTACGAGATCACGAAATGGAAGCATGACTGGGCTCAGTGAGTATGCCCAAGCGACTTGGTTGACCAGCCCAAACCATGATCTGGCATCGGTGAGCGTTTTTGGTATTGGGAAGCTTAATATTGCCTCCAGCATGGATTTAGAAGGGGTTACACCAGAAGATGTTATTTGGAGGCCCCCAAACTGCACCGTGTCTTGGCAAAATTGGAATTTTTCTCTATTTATTACGATGCCGTTTTTTGCACAATGGAGGAGAAAATCGAACGTGTGAAAAAAGGCTCCTTCAATGTCAGAGTCATAGAGTAGGGTGTCATCCACGATTTTTACTTTGCGGGGGATGTCTTTTATTACTTCATCATACCTTCGGGTGTAGGCATCGCCAGATGCTAGGTAACCTTGTGGCATTCTCAGGTACATGAACCTTCCCCATTCTGTGATGAAGGTGGTGAGTGGCTGGGACTCTTTATCTAAGGGGATGGAATGATATCCATCAACAGCATCCAACACTGTTTTCTTTTGTTTAGGTGGCACTTGTAGTGCTAGCTGGAATGGTGACCCTGTATGGTGTGTTTTCCCGTTTGCACTGTGAATTCAAGTGTTGGTAGTCTATGGTTCTTCGTGGTTTGCCATTTTCTTGGCGGTAATTACCATAGTGCTACACCAATCAGTGGGCATGCCGACGGGTACTGGGGTTATGATACCCCTTTTCACATCTTCCCAAAGGGCCTGCCTTACGGGCTCTTTGAAGTGAAAAGGCACAGGAATTGGGTTATGTCTGGCTTTGGGGACTGCTCCTTCTTTGAGGTGTATATGAGCAGTGGGGCCAGACATTGGTGGGAATTCACCATTATTTTTGAACGCCGTTTCGGCGAATTGATTTAATAGCCAATTCTTGAGCCTATCAATGTTTTGTTCTGTTGGGGGAAAAGGGTTTTTTGGGGCGCGTTGGGAGTTGTCCCTCGACTTTGCATTGTTTAGGGCTCGCGTCTGATTTTTTATGTGTACTTGTCGAGGGCATGTGTTGCATTGCTGTTTGGGGTAATATTGTAGTCGTTGGGTTTGGGAAGTCTTTTGACAGTATCCCTACATCAATGCAGGCTGCTTTGCTGAAGTATAGCCGCTGAATCTTTTTGCATATGTATAGGGCTTGTTTAGTTGTTCTTCCTTGGACGATGAATTCCACGGGGAGCCAACCCTGACATACGAGTGTAAAGCCTCCCACAGCTCGGACGACTTTTTTTGATGGAATGAGGTTGTTGGTAGTGAGCCCCATATTCAGAAGGTGCTTAAGTCCTCCGAGACATATGGTGGCCCCACTGTCAGGAAAGATCGTCATCCTAGTGCTGTGATTTCTGGGGATATTCTTAACTTGTCTGGGATCCGGTTTTGGCGAGAATGGAACAACATATGCATCAATTTCCCTTACCTGGCCTGTGTCTTTAGATGTATACGTGCCTGTCGTTTGATTGAATGTAATGTGGGCGATAAGTGTGTCCATGGCGGCTTCATTAGCCTCTGGGCTTTTCCTTACTGCTTGAGCCAGTTTCTTAGCCCGGCATACCCTCGATAGGTGATTGGGCTTCCCACAATTACTACATGTTTGTCCCCATGCTGGGCATTTTAGCCGGCGGGATCCAGTTCCTGAGGTGCCATGCTGGTGGCTGCCACAACCTAAGCAAGCCTGGTGGTTTGGTTTAACATTGCAGTTGCAATAGGTGCTGGTACGGATCCCCTCGTTGGCTTGTGGCGTACCCTTCTGTCTGCGGTATGTTGATAGCCGAGCAGCGGCTGTATCTGAAGCGCCAGCCATTGAGGTTTGGTCTCGCAATGCTGATTCAAATGCCTCAGCATGACGGATATTTTGCTCAAGGGATTTAAGTGCCCCAGCTTTGGCCAGTAGGTCAGCCTGGAGTGTGTCATTTGCTATTCCACGGATGATCTGGTCCTTGATGTATATATCAGACAGGTCATGCTCACACAAGGGGCAGGTAAAGTTACAATCAACAGCTACGGCTCTGAGGCGGACAAGGTAACTTTGTATTGGCTCATCCGCATCCTGAGACATGTAGGAAAAAGCAAGGCGATGGACAATAGGACTTGACCTCTGGGTGACCAACGTTTCTACCATGTCAAGTAGCTTATCTGGATCAGTGGTAAAGAAGTCAGGGTGTGTGTTGATTATGGCGTTTTGCACAGACTCATCAGCACAATTGTATAGGTGAATATCAGCTTGGGAGCTTGGCATATTTGTCATCTTGGTAAAGACATCCCAGTCAATTCGGAAATTCCTGAATTGTTGTGGTGTCATCTCGAGATTGAGATGGGGAGGCTTGGCTGCTATTGCACGAATGCGTGTGGTCTGGGTGGTGGCTTCCTTAGCCTGCTTGATGATACACAGGGCTTCTCCCATTAATGCGACTCCGAGCTCCCTAAGCATGGATCGATCCAGCATATGAAGGCTCTCGATTGTCAGTTTCTCGTCTGCAAACCTTGTTGCATGAGTTTTGGCTGAGTCAGTGGATAGGCCTGCTTCAATGAAGAAGAGTTCCCAATCTTCGGGTGTCATATATCCTGTTCGCAGCGCCATGTAGAAAAATCACGTGGTAGAGATAAACACTTAGTTGTGGAGCAAGCTAAGTGAACAATAATCCAACTTTTAGAAAGAGAGCTATTTATGTTGCCATGGAGCATCTCATTGTGCTAAAGTGGGATAGTCCATTGCTTGGGCTGTGATTGGCTGCTGGTACCTGAGTGGAGGTTTTTCTATAAATAAATTCATCTGTTAGTTTGATTCATCAACCTAGTTTGGACGCTAGGGTTTGTATTAAGTTGTTTATTAACCTGCTTTTAACGGTTTTTGTCTGCCAAATTTTCGCATTTAATGAATAGAAAAAAAATATTTCGTCTAATAAAAGGTTTAAAAGCTTAACCCAATCATAAGATAGGACCTTGTAGTTCAGTGCAACGCGTTTAGTACGAAACAGCCCTGAACAAAAAATTTAAAATTTCTCTATTAACGACATATTATAGTGCCAAAAGCTATCTTTCGCTGTGACTGAACAGACGATGTGCGTACATGAATGCCATTATTCGTTTTGAAATGGACACCCCGACCCTACCTCGGAAGGTGACTGATATGTAGATAAAAAATTAACTCTTAGGCCCTTTATTAAAATGGTGGCCCCAGCCGTTTCCATAGTGATAAATTTTGCGAATGAACATGCTTATAAAGATGCGTAAGTTTCAAGATTGGTTATTCCTAAATTTTCACTTGAGGATGAAACAGAGCTTGATACTTTAATTCAATTTAATTTAAATAATTATATTGAGGTTTTCGGCTATCGTTTTTGAAACATGAGAACTCTTATGTAGCGAAGGAATCATATTTTTTTTAAAAAATAATTATAATTTAAGCTCTACTTCTGTATGGAGCACTGTTTTTAAAAATAAAAACGAAAATACTAAAGAACTCCGGATTATTTACCTAACGTGTTCTTTCCTATTTTTCTACATATCTGCACACACACACACACACATATATATATATATATATATATATATATATATATATGTGTGTGTGTGTGTGTGTGTGTGTGTAAAATACCTCTCACTCACTTTCGTTTATTAGACATTGAGCTGTCGTCCATGAACTTTTCTGCTAACCTGATTAATCTTCAATTATTAAAAGGTTTGAAAACCCTTAACATTTTGCGCTTGTATATAAATACTTGTCACAAAATAAAATCTTTACCTTTGCCTTGATGAAGTCCCTCAGAGGACCAAATGCGTGAGCTAAGATAAGTTTTCCTTTTGTCTTTACTCATATTGTCCTTTTACAGTTTTACAGATATATAACATTTTGTTATTATAACTATAATTACTGCTTGTAATAATACTGTTACCTTGTCCAATATATCCATTTGATTTAAACAATCTGACATAAATCTTGCTCTTTATATTTTGGGGGACAGGTGTGCTAATGAAAGATGGGTATCTCTCTATCCTGAGAGACAAAATTGAGAACAAGAAAGAAAGAAAGAAGCTCCATCAGTAGTTTATGCGTTGTTTTTCTCTGTCCCTCTTGCCTTCAATCTGTCCTGTGAGTAACATACATTCCAAACCCTCTTTCCTCATTATGTGACCTCGGAATTTCTACTACCTCATCCGGATGTTAAGATTCCATTTTGCTTCCATTTTCTCTAAAACTTTGCCGTTGCTTACGAAAACAAAAGACCCCAGAATTTTCAAAAAAAAATCATCCTTTAATAGTTGCGTAATTTGTAACGTAAGCAGAAAAAAAAAACAAATGTTGATAAGATAGAAAGGGTCACAAAGCACAGCTTAGGGCTCCCAATCAGTCTTGGGTCACTCTCCCGCCCTGATCCATTTTACGAGGGACGTATATCTGTAGCAGACTACAGTACTAGTAATCAAAGATGGTTAATTATACCGACATGTTTAATCAAGCAAGGTGTCATATAAGAAGAAAATGAGTAACTACCGACATCGAGGTTCGAACGTGACACTTCGGACTAAATAGAGGTGTCAGGTTACTGACTGCAGTGATTATTGAGTGACTATTGAATGGAACTATCCAGTCGAATTAGTGTGAATCATTGTGTGTCGATGATTTGGGTTTTGATTTCGGATTTACCGGATGTTAAGCCGAGTCGCGCAACTAACAAGGTATTCACTGAAATCTTTGGTTGACGTTTACTATTTTGTCTATGTTAAGTATTTATACGCGGTTGTAATTAAATACTGTTTTATCTTAACATTGAAGTCTTGAGTTATACTTAAAAACGCCAGTTGCTTGTTTCACTCATTCATTCACTAACAAAGAATCAAGGTGCTCTTTGCCTTATTTCAGGTAATCTAATGTTGGAGAGGCTCTTCACTGATAGTCAAGCCCTCAGATTGTCAGTGGCCAAGCATTTTGTCAAAGACCACCACCTTTATTGACTATGGTTAATTATCTTTGGTTGACTTTTACTTCGTTGTTCTTGTTAAGTATTTATTTGCGGTTGTAATTAAATACTGTTTTATCTTAACATTGAAATCTTGAGTTATAGTTAATTATTAACGGCCACCGTACGTCACAAAATGATGTAATGAATATGCATACACCTGGGTTTCCCCTTCACAGTAATGTTTGGATGGTGTCAGCCATAAATACAGACTGATGTGGAGGTACAGGGTCGACGCCTATTGCCTACCACTACGACGAGGACCAGTTTATTACGGCTACCTGTTAGATTGTCCTACCCGGTTACAGAAGCCCAAACCACTTAGCTACTTCAAACAAATATATCCCTTTCCGGGACATATCACAAAACAAGGCAATAAAGCCCCTAAGGCGCAGGGGAGTTAAAGAATATGTAAGAAAATGAGAAGCATTATTAATGAGCAACAACAAAAAATGAACATGAATTAAGAAAACAAAGGATAACGATTGACATTGCATTTAAATTTTTGAAGATCAAACTTGGACTGGAATGCAAGAAGCCGGAAGAGAGAAGTGCAAGAAAGGAAGCTGTTAGCATTTAACTTACGGTTACATCTATCTATTTCAACTTTCAAAATGATGAGACCTAACTGACAATCTAGTACCGTGCTTAGGAAATTTCAGAAGAACAGTTACCATGAAAGTGTTTATATAAAACTTACATGTAAACAACATCACGGCGGTGAGAAAATAACTGAAGCTAGGTTAGGACCAACAACATTGCAAATTCTTTTTTGGATTTGATCGAGGATCTCTAAATATATAGCAAGAACACCGGGCCATATGTGGCAGCAATATTCAAAGCAAAATGGTAGACTTATAATTATGTAAGGTAGTTTCTGGAGAGAAAAACAGTCTAGTTAGATTCCGTGAACCAACCTTCCTAGCAACAGACATAGCAATTGATTCGATATAATCTATTCACTTCGTGTCAGTAAATAACGAGTTACACTTAATTACGGATTATTAATTTATAATCTTGTAAATAAATAATTGAATTAATAAAGTGTTTAACATCTTTGCTGTCATCTCTCAAGAACAAAATAATTATATTTGAACAATTTTCTCAATACGAATTAATAGTGGTATGAAAATAAAACAAAAGTCCTTTTGAACCACCGTTTTTTTTTTCAAATTAAACTTTACCAAGTGTTTATTTTGTATGTTGCAAATAACCAATGAAGAAAAGTGTTTTAAAAACATTCATCTTGTCTGAGTTGTGAATCTCTTTTCTTTGTTGAGTGATCGCATCACGTATACTATGTTAACATCCACACCTCAATCAATCGCAGTCAGATTTACAAAAGCCTCAGATACAATCCAAATAATAGGTGGGCCACCAAAATGTTAGCGGTTCTATTTCTTTTCAGTAAAACAGTCCCAGTTACAAAGCGACAACACTAGAAAGCTGGAAGAAAACTGATTGCTGAAGAAAAAAAATGTTTGTTTTTTGTTAGGAGCATTGACTCCAAAAGGGTTTCAATTGAAAGGGGCAGTGTGAATGAAATGCCTGAAAAGGACGAATTGACGAGGAAGTAGAAATTCGATATTGGAAACGGGGATGACATTGTGGTTTTATTTTCAAGAAGTTGGGTGGAAAGCTAAAATGACATTGTGTTGGTTCATCTGAAGAATATGAGGCAATAAATTGTTCTTTCAGTCTTCTGAAGATTTATCGATATTGTTGAAATAAATTTCAAAACATAGGCGATTAGAGGCCCAAGAATATTAATAGATCGGCAGAGAAACAAAAGAGGAGAAGAGAGACGAAAGAGGAGGAGAGAGACAAAAGAGGAGACGAGAGACAAAAGCGGAGAAGAGAGACGAAAGAGGAGGAGAGAGACGAAAGAGAAGAAGGGAGACAAAAGAGGAGGAGAGAGACAAAAGAGAAGGAGAAAGACGAAAGAGGAAGAGAGAGACAAAAGAGGAGGAGAGAGACAAAAGAGGAGGAGAGAGACAAAAGAGAAGGAGAAAGACGAAAGAGGAGGAGAGAGACGAAAGAGAAGGAGAAAGACGAAAGAGGAGGAGAGAGAGGAAAAGAGAGAGAGAGACGAAAGAGGAGGAGAGAGAGAAAGAAAGAAGAGAGGAGGAGAGACGAAAGAGGAGAAAGACGAAAGAGACGAAAGAGGAGGAAGAGACAAAAGAGAAGGAAAAGACGAAAGAGGAGGAGAGACGAAAGAGAAGAAAAGACAAAAAGAGGAGGAGAGACAAAAAAGAGAAGGAAGAAAGACGAAAGAGGAAGAGAGAGACAAAAGAGAAGAAGGGAGACAAAAGAGGAGGAGAGAGACAAAAGAGAAGGAGAAAGACGAAAGAGGAGGAGAAAGACGAAAGAGAAGAAGGGAGACGAAAGAGGAGGAGAGAGACAAAAGAGAAGGAGAAAGACGAAAGAGGAGGAGAGAGACAAAAGAGAAGAAGGGAGACAAAAGAGGAGGAGAGAGACAAAAGAGAAAAGACGAAAGAGGAAGAGAGAGAAAAAAGAGAAGGAGAAAAAGACGAAAGAGGAAAAGAGAAGGAGAAAGACGAAAGAGGAGGAGAAAGACGAAAGAGGAGGAGAAAGACGAAAGAGGAGGAGAGAGACAAAAGAGAAGGAGAAAGACGAAAGAGGAGGAGAGAGACGAAAGAGAAGAAGGGAGACAAAAGAGGAGGAGAGAGACAAAAGAGAAGGAGAAAAAGAAAAGAGGAGGAGAGAGACGAAAGAGGAGGAGAGAGACAAAAGAGAAGGAGAAAGACGAAAGAGGAGAAGAGAGACAAAAGAGAAGGAGAAATACGAAAGAGGAGAAGAGAGACAAAAGAGAAGAAGGGAGACAAAAGAGGAGGAGAGAGACGAAAGAGGAGAAGAGAGACAAAAGAGAAGGAGAAAGACGAAAGAGGAGAAGAGAGACAAAAGAGAAGAAGGGAGACAAAAGAGGAGGAGAGAGACAAAAGAGGAGAAGAGAGACAAAAGAGGAGAAGAGAGACAAGTGGCGAGATGTGTAGAATGAAAAGAGAAACAAGGGATAAACGGAGAGACGATATATAAAGAAGGACAAAAATGAAGAGAGACGAGGAAAGATGGCAGGAAGAATATAATAGATAAAAAGCAGAGAGAGACCGATGCGAAAGGGAGACAGCAGAGGGAGACTAACGCGAAAGAGAACAACGGGGGAGAGAGGAGAGAGATCACCGCGAAAAGGGAGAGAGTAAAGAGAGACCGACACAGAAGAGGGGGAGAGCAGAGGGACACCACCGCGAAAGACGGAGAGAGCGGAGAGAGAGACCAATGCGGAAGAGGGAGTGAGCGGAGAGAGAGACCAACGGGGAAGAGAGAAAGAGCAGAGAGATAAAGAGGGAGTCGAGAGATACTGACGCGCAAGAGGGAGAGAGCAGAGGGAGGTCGACGCGGAAGAAGCAGAGAGTGGAGAGAGCGACCGATGCGAGAGAGAGAGAGAGAGAGAGAGAGAGAGAGAGAGAGAGAGAGAGAGATCGACCGACGCGGAAGAGGGAGAGAGCGGAGAGAAAGACTGACGCGGAAGAGGTAGAGAGTGTCCGACGCGAAAGCGGGAGAGAGCAGTGACCGACGCGGAAGAAGAAAGCAGAGACCGACGTGAAAGAAGAAGAGAGCAGAGAGAGACCGACGCAGAAAAGAGAGAGGGGGAGAGAAAGAGAGATCGACGTGGAAGACAGAGAGAGAGAGAGAGAGAGAGAAACCGATGTCGAAGAGGGAGAGAGTGGAAAGAGAGAGAGAAGAGACATTGATAGAAAAAGACACCTTACGATACAGTGTGCGACAGAAATATCTCCCACATACTGGTAAGACATTAGTAGCAATGGTGTCTTCAGGGGTCGTCAAACATTTTCGACCAGAGACCCCCTCTTGTTTCTCTTCCTTCCCCAGTGAACTCCATTTAAAATATCTTTGAACCTTAAAACTTGTTGGCAATTAAAATGTTAACAAAAATGTATGAAAAGCTAAGAAATTTGAATCAGGTTTAGAATTTCCACCTACAGCGTCATCAGGTTCAAAATTCCTCCTTTATTGTACACTGACTAAAAGTTACCTCAGTGTCATTCGCATACCGACCCCCATTTGACCCCTTGACAATCATCGACACCCTGGAACGCCTCACCGACCCCGTTAGATGACCACTGATCTAGCTATTGTCTTACTATTATGTGAAATGTATTTCTGCCGCATCCTGTATGTCTCCAAATTTGTTTTACTGTGTGGAGTTTTTGATATACAGATTCATTAAAGAAATATGTTCTTCATTTTATACAGGTGAAAAAGAAATGACATGCATTGCAGAACAACATGGCTGCAACATGCATTTAAGAAATCCGAAGGACATATCAATTGAAACATTATGAAGGGAAAAATTTTTTTAAAAACAATTCTGAATATTTCCTAGAACAATACTTAATCTGAAAATATTAGACAACCTTGAATGATGAATCGCTTCCTCGTAAGATAGTTTGTTTCTTTAACCATTGTCATTCTTGTGGTTATCTCAGATCAATAAGCCGATTTTTTTTTCGTTACTTTCTCCGCTATTTTGGTTTTGCTTAGACCATTTTTTCTCATATTACATAACGCGGGTGGTACAAGGTCACTGAATGTTTCACTTTTATAGAAGCCATTACAAACGAAAAGAAATGTTTAAAAACACAAATAAAATCCCCAGCAAGGCTCTAAATTATTTACAACACATTTGTAATTGTTAGTTTACAAAATTTTTCTTTCTCTATTTCTGAGATGAGGTATTGTAATTATTTATATTATTTACATTGTTCTGACTGTTGTCCTCCTCTTTATTGTCATATTCACGACGTTTCGGCCGTTGTACCCTCCCGCCTTCCATCAGCTGATTGGAATTTCGACCTGAACCTTTTATTTCATGTTGCATCAGGATGTTAAGTTTTCTTATTGTTTCCATTTTCTAAAGGTTCGCCGTTGCTTATTGTTATAGGACCTTACCCATAATAACATAATGGACTAGCCCATACGTAATAAATACTGCGCCTCAAGAGGAAGCAGGGAGTTCAGTCTGAAGTCGGACGACCGGCTGATCGGTTGAACTCTCTGCCTTCGGGCGGGGAGGAACCCGAACGAGGCTACGCCGAAGGGCGGAGTCTCTTTCGGGGAGGTAAACCGACCCTGAACCCGTTTATACAGGTTCAAAGGGCATATTTATGGCCGAGCTCACGGGCTCGTAGATCCCACGTTAAATCGGCCTTGTGCCACATGATACCCTCGTGGGGTTTGGGGGTGGGGACTAAATACCGTTCCGTCTGAAGTCTGGAGTGAAGTCTGTCAGGAGTCTGTCAGTCAGTCAAAGCGAGTGAGTCAGTCAGTCGAGTCAGCGGCAGTCCGAAACAGAGTCGCGTTCAGATAATTACTACTAAACCTGATTGTTCGTACTAACCCTTTCTACTTCTATGTATATATTCCTGTTTGTAATATATCTGTGTTATTCCATATACGTGTTCGAGTTCTTATTTGGTTCTACCTTGGACTATCACCGTGGTACAAGGAACCGGACCATAACACTTATGAAAAAAAAAAACCAGAATGACGTCAAAATCCGCGAAAATTTCTGATCCTTTCATAGTTGAGTTTAGTTTAATTTGTAACGCATAGGCAGAAAAAAGCAAATGTTGATAAGATAGCAAGGGTCATAAAGCACAGCTTAAGGCTCCCGATCAGTTTTGGGTCACTCCCCTGTCCTGATCCATTTTACGAGGGACATATATCTGTAACAGACAACTCTAGTAGAAATCAAAGATGTTTAATTATAGCGACATTTTTAATCAAGCAAGGTGTCATATAAGAAGAAAATGAGTAACTACCGACATCGAGGTTCGAACGTGACACTCTGGACATTTCCGTCAGGTGTATAAATAGCGTTGACAGGCTACTGACTGCAGTGATTATTAAGTTACTATTGAGTGGAACTATTCAGTCGAATTAGTGTGAATTATTGTGTGTCGATGATTTGGGTTTTGATTTAGGATTTGCCGGACGTTAAGCCGAGCCGCGCTACTGACAAAGTATTTACTGAAGTAGTTGATTATCTTTGGTCAACTTTTACTTCTTTGCTCTTCTTAAATATTTATTTACCGACACCGAGGTTCGAGCGTGACATTCTGGACATATAAATATTTTCCGTCAGGTGTATAAATAGCGTTGACAGGCTACTGACTGCATTGATTACTGAGTGGAACTATCCAGTCGAATTAGTGTGAATTATTGTGCGTTGAGGATTGGGGTTTTGATTTAGGATTTACCGGACGTTAAGCCGAGCCGCGCTACTAACAAAGTATTCACTGAAATGGTTATCTTTGGTTAACTTTTAATTCTTTGTTCTTGTTAAGTATTTATTTGTGGTTGTAATTAAATACTGTTTTATTTTAACACTGAAGTCTTGAGTTATACGTAATCATTAATGGCCACCGTACGTCACAAACATTATAAATTCATAAAAGGAAAACTTTTAGCCTCAAAATTTATCTTGGTTCATGGCAGTTTCGTTATTATTTATACCATGTTATAATTTTGGAAGATTTTGCCAGTGAAACACAAGTTACAGAGCCTTCTGCATATCTTCCCATTTTCAAAATTTTATTTTATTTTTAATTTCTTTGAAGTGTATTTGGATAAAGAAGAGCAGGAAGACATTGGCTGAGAATTGGTGCTTTTTTATATTTTGTAAACTTCCATTTGACTTTGCCTCTTTATTTTATCCACGGGGGTAGATTGTTCTAATTCCGCATGCCATGTCTCCATCGGGTGTCTCTGTTATCTCCCTTTAACTCAAGTTTCTAAGTTTGGGTTCCCTACTGTAGTAGCCAGGTATTGAACTCACAACTCTTTTGGATCAAATGACTGGATCCGACCAACGCTTTTATCCACTGGGCCATGTGTCTTGAGTCTTCAAAAATTAGCTATTAGTGTTTGAGGATATGAGTATATCCATAATGGTTTTGGAAGTGTTTGTGACAATTTCAAGATTATTTAGATGGGATAAGTTATTCTGGATAGTAGACGTGGCAGAATTGGTCGGTAGTATTATGTATCTGTTTTCATGTGATTTACTATTGCGGATTATGTTATTAGTTTTGTTTCGTTTGTATATTTTGTATGCCTTTCTTCTTGTATTGTGGATGAAATGATATGGGTATTGTAGGTTTTAGAACGTGTTTTCTATGTATGTTTCTTCTTTAAGTAAATATTGGGGACTACAGATTCTTAATGCTCTTAGATAGAAACCTATAATAATTCCAGATTTAATTTTTGAAGAGTGGTTTGAGTAGAAACTGATCAGATCATTTTTGTTTGTAGTCTTTCTGTAAACGTCAAAATTGAGTTAGTTATTATTTCTATGTAATATATCTAGGAAGGGAAGAGTGTAGTTGGTTCCAGTTTCAAAAGTGAGGTTTATTGTAGGTTCAACGTTGTTAAGTTTGGAGAGAAGATCCGTTAAATTGGTGTTTTTTTGGATATATTAATTATAAGTCGTCTATGTATCTGAAATATGAAGAGTTTGTAGGGAGAAAGTTTTTTTTACATTTTTTGTATTTATTAAATGTTTTAATTGTGCACGGGTTTATCTCATCTTTCATTTGTCTTTATTCAGTGTTAGTCTATCAATACTGTTGCAATATAGGGAAGGTTACTGAATAGAATAATCACACGAAGGTTGGTAATGAACGATAATACTTAGGACAAGAACAACACATATAGGATTCGCCAGCTGTGCGTAGAAGTAGTCAACTGCTAGAAGTGAGTCAGGTGAATGCCTCAATGAATATCTAACTGCAGAATATCTACCAATCGCCCCGCGTGGACAGATTTCGCACAAGGCCGAATATTATGTTGGGTATTCGAACCCGTAAGCTCGGCCAAAAATTTTCCGTATACCCTGTATAAAACAGGGTCAGATAGCTGTTTCCTGAGACGAGACTCCGCCCTTTGACATTGCCTTCGGGCAGAGAGGATCCCCAGACGAGGCTTAGAGTTTGACCAGTATAGCTGGAGATGAATCTCCATCTCCAGACCAACATACAGTATTTACTACTGTATTTATGTGAATGTGGACATACCCATTATCGTCCGAAGGTATCCCACAACAAATACTAATGCTAATATTATTTCCTGGTGAGTGGGAAACTATTAAATATCTTTTTAGTACCAGATTTCCGGTAAATTATGACTGGCAAATAAAATTTTACTAATAAGTGGTACTAATACAAGCTAATCCGATAAATAGCTCGCTGTCTTTCCCTATCTCTCTTGACCTCACTATGCCCCTTGAAGGTTAAGTTCCCTAACTTCTACATCTTTATTACGTAAGGGTGCAGTTCAAAATTTCATTCACCTGAAGAAGGCCGGGGTGTACAACTGCTGAAACGTCATGAATAGGGTAGTAAAGATGAGGACAACAGTCTGAACAATATAAATAGCGTAAATAGTTACAATACCTCATCTCAGAAATATAGACAGATCTTGAAGAAGGCCGGATTGTACAATGGTTGAAACGTCATGAATATGGCAATCAAGATAAGGAAAACAGTCTGAACAATATAAATAGCGTAAATAGTTACAATACCTCATCTCAGAAATATAGACAGATCTTGAAGAAGGCTGGATCGTACAATGGTTGAAACATCATGAACATGGTAATAAAGATGAGGACAACAGTCTGAACAATGTAATTAATCAGAAATATAAACTGGTCCTTATTATGTGTCCAAGGAATTTCAGCTGATTTT